GAGAGAGAGAGAGAGAGAGAGAGAGAGAGAGAGAGAGATTGCATTTACGAACTTGCACATTTACATTTTCCCCTTGCGTGTGTTCCCATTCATTCATGCGGCTTTACTCGTTCTGTTTGTCAGATCGACTGCGAGACGGAGGGGCTGAGCGTCGCTGGTGTCGTCCTTGATGAGGTGGTGAGCCGGGCGAGAAGATCCAAGGAGCTTTTCTTCAACTGCGTTCTGGATTTGGCATCCTTCAAATTGACGAAACCGATCGTCCGTTTTGTCGTTTACCTCCTCCCCAATCTCATTTACAATCATTTCGCGTCCGAGTACGAGCGCGTTATCCGCGGCTGTCCGGATCCCTACTTCAACGAAGACCAATGGGTTCAAATCAAGTGGCCAGTGCCGTTGCTGGGTTGAGCGCGCCAAATTCAATCTGATCCCTACGGGGGAAGCATTGCTTGCTATATGTCATCCATCCACGTGGCAGTCAATCCAGTTGTTAGTCGGGATGTCCATTTTTAGCTTATCGGATCTATGGGCTGAAATCCAGTGAAGTGGGCAGTCCGGATCCTTGCTGGGTTGAGCGCGGCAATTTGAACTGAATGTGTTCGGTCCAGACTCCAGAGGTCATCATTATCTTCGTTACCTTATCAATCAATCGACCTGGCGGTCGATCCAGTTGTTATCGGTAGTCTTCTTCATCGGCAGGTCATTCGTGCTGGTAGTCAATCCTGCCGGCGGGTAGTCGTCGATCGGGGAGTCAGTCCAACTGGTTTTTTTCTTCGTTCTTTTCTCATTGTTGTATGCGTGTTTGCTTGATTGATTGATGGAGGCTCTTTGATTTTGTGATTGATTGATTGATTGATTGATTGATTGAAATAGACTGCTTGATTTATTGATGGATTGATTGATTGACAGGTAGGTGGCAGTGAAGTCTGTGGGTTTCTTTCTTCCCTTTCTCCGCTTCTTTTTCTTTGTTCCTTTTTTTCCGTCTTGTTCTCTCTTTCTTTCTTCGTTGTCCTGTTTTCTGATTGATTGACACGTAGGTGGGAGTTATTTTGTTTTGTTTTTTTCTCGTTCTTTCTTCATTGATTCTTTTTTTGTCGGTTTTCTTTGTTTCTTGTTTTCGTTGTTTGTTTCCTTCCTGATTGCTTGATTGGTCGCAGTCAAACTAGATGGCAATTAATCCATCTCTCTGCCAGTCGGTCTAGTCGTGCATGGATTCCTTCTCCCTGCAAGAAGGTAATCAATGCCGTCGGCACACTCTTTTGTTTACTTCGTTCCTGATTGATTGATTGATTGATTATTATTGATCTATAGATTGATTATTATTATTGATCGATAGATTGGTCGCAGACTCGCAGTCGAACTAGCTGGCAATGAATCCATCTCTGGCAGTCGTTAAGTCGTCCATCGATCCAGGTTGTGCTCTTTTCAGCTCACAGTCTAATCCTTCTCATGCAAGAAGTAATCAATGTAACGCTGTCGGTATATTGCCATGGAAAGACGGTCAGCTTCATGCGCTTTATGATTTATCAACGCCTCTTTTGTTTTGTGGTAATCTATGGGACTCTGGGACTCTGGACCCCGGTTTCTAATTGTGGGAACGTATGGGACTGTGGACTTGGCTTCTTTGTGGGGAATCTGGGGATCTATGGGACTCTGGAGGGGGTTTCAATTTGTGGGAATCTTTTTTATTGAACCTGCCCGGGACTACTAGGGAGGTTGGTATGAGCACCCCCCCCCCCCCCCCCCCCCC